TTTTTTTTTTTTTTTTTTTTACCCCTCAAGGCTACAGAGGCCGACCTGCGCAAGCCGCGCGCGCGCGCGGTTTCTCGGCGCGCGGCCCCGCCCGGCCGCAACTCGGCCGCACGCGGACTCGGCCGCGCGGCCGGCCTCCTCGGCCGCGGCCTCGGCCGAGGGTGCCACGTAGACGGTACGTGGCACATTCACTCGGGCCAACTTCTATGCAAGATTATCTTTCGGGTGGTAGCAGGAATTTCCCGTATTGGTGCTTGTGAGAATCGACCGCCCCGACGATAATCGGCATCGACATCGTCGAGAATGACCAAGGGGGAGGTGTATTGTGCATCTTGCTTTGCGGAGTGTTTAGCATTATGTCGGTGGTTATTATATAGGTTGTTGTTATTGTAAATCACTTGTCCGCCATGTGTGAGAGAGAGAGAGAGAGTCACACTGCACACATATATAAATATCTATATATATAGAGAGAGAGAGAAAGAAAGAGGGAGAGACGTAAATCGAGACTTGGGACTTCTTTACTCCCGGAAAACTTTATCTGCCCATCGTTAACACCAATTTCGGGTCCTTCATAAAAATAAAAATAAAAATATAAAAAAAAATAATTTGGTTCATTAGCATTGCTAAAGGTTCAGTTAAGGAGCACCAAGCACTCGAGAGTGATGCCACACATGACCGATAAGGCTCTCCCTGAATTATGAGCCCTTGCCAAGTTTTAGAGCATACGCAACATCTTCCATCGGTGGGGGAGGACATCGTGCGGGTTGTGCGTTTCTGGCACGACATCGACGACGAGGACAATTATCAACGTTTGAACCCTCACTGACACTGTCGTTGGATAACGCATCCAAATCTGCTTGCACCTTCGAATCGATCATTATGTTATGAAGTATGCAGATGGCGATAAAATCTTTGCAAATAGTGTTCAAATTATTGATTTGCCTCTTGATAAAGTGCCTCCAGACGACGTTCAGTCTACCAAAAGTGTGTTCAATGCACGACCTTGCCGACGTGTGGCAGTCATCGTACACCTGCTCCAGTGCGAACCTGCTGTTCCCACCCACTGGAGACATGAGCCACGGCAAGTGTGGGTACCATGCGTTCGCCAGCCGATACCTACCAATCACGCGACCATTATTATGGCATCACAGAGGATCTCCCTACCTGTTACAAGAACGTCGATTTGTTGTTGCGCCTGACGACATATAAACGACAACTGGCGCACTCGATTGTCGTGGACATACCCCGAGCAACCCACAAACATGCTTACAATTGGACAGTTATGGTCACAAATCATACGCGAGATGACAGTGAGCTGGCCATTTCTGTTGTACAAGCACTCTCCTCGCTGGTTTCTCGGCTTTTCAATGTACATATGGGTGCAGTCGATTGTCCGTACACACGAAAAGAAACCCTTCCTCTCCAACACGTTCAGTGTCTCCTACAACATTTCGCCAGTGGGGAACTAGAGCAGTTGTCCGTTGTCGAGCGCACGGTCCCCCCTGTGGGGGGGGGGGGGGGACCTTCCCGGCTACATCACGCAGGATTAGCAGTTTCGCAAGTCGCTTCACGAAAGAGGAAGCGGTAGAGCCGCTCCAACTGAGTGTGTCAGCTATACCTCCATCGAGTCCCTATGACAGGATAGGGTCTTGCGAGGTACAACTTACGTCCACCCGTGGGAGCTGTCACCATCCCTTGGGTGGGCGTATCCCCTCCGAGCTATTGAACCACACGTGAAAGCTTTTACGTGCAATCGCGGAGGTGGCCCAGCCGAGGGCGTTTCTTGTACGTTGTAGCATAGGGGGTACGTGCGGTTCATGCCTAACTCGGACTTGCGCGGGACGTTGATCACCCATGCACGTTTCAGCGTCGGTCGACTAGGACATCCTAACTTAGCCACGCGACACGCATAAAAAATAATGAAACTAACTCCAACAAGCAAATAACCCTAGTCCCTCTTTCAAATGTTATAACCCATAACTCGTAAAAAGTTCAAGTGTCTAAGCGAGGCCCGCACAAAGTCGAATAAAAAGAATGCACGAGCAAATAAAACCATAATGCTCAGTGATGTATACTCACTTGATCGACAGTGATGGCGACGCTTCATGCATTACCCACATCCGTGCAACCTCTCATGGGTTTTAAGGTACGACACTCAAGTGTCGAAAGCGAAATATCATGAAAGGACTCTCCCTCATGATATTGAACGGTTGAAGGAGACGTCGTTCAACCCTTGCGGCACCCCTGTCTTTTGAGCAGTGGGTAATGATAGGCAAGGGGCGTAGGTCCGACTCATGGGAGAAACCCTTTTGTGCTGGGTCAGAACGTGGGATGTCCTGGACAAGGACCTCGAGTTCGAGGCTTAGGACCAACGTCCGACCAGTAATCTAAAAATCAAAGTCCTTTAAAATGAACTCCGCTCTTTCCTCTCTTGTAGAAGGTAAAAGGGGGTAGTTTCTGTTTAGCGAGCAATTCGTTATACCCGAAC